TTACTGAAGCAGGAGAACCCAGACTAGAGATGGGCGCGTGTCAGATTCAAACGACACGAACACGAAAAAACATTTTTTAAACACGCGAAAGATTTAACAAGTCCCTGCCCAACTCAACCCAAGTATATATGTTTTTGTGATATTTTTTAAAAATTTTTTTAAGTTAAGAAAAAAGTAAAATTTACTGCTTGATAATTTCTCAATATTTTCTTTACAATCTCTCAACATCAAATTCACTTCGACGCTCTCTCATTTCATTATTTTTTTCGACTGGCATTGGTCGGAAAACTCGGAAAACTCATAATTTATATCTGCTAATACTATTTTTACTACAGGCTGACCTAAAAAATGCTACTCTTCGTCTTGTTCAAGCTAAGGAAGCACGCACGGGCCCGACAAAAGCACGACACATGCCCATCTCTAGCGCTGACCCAAGCGGACCGCACCAGAGCAGGGCGACCCGGCGACCAACAGAGGCCAAAGGCAAAAAGGGACGCCCTGCTCCTGTTCTTGATTAACCTATTATGATCATTTGATTGCTCGATTTAATTTGCCATCGTTTTTTATTTTTATTTTTGTTTATTTCTCTTCTTCTTTTTCACTTTGTGCGAGAGAAGTTAGGCAACGGCAGGAGGAAAACTTATTCGTTTCTCATTGATGCTTTATCAAATTGAATTTCTTTGATGACTTTTTGGCCTGCACAATGTACCCTCTCTCGGACGCATTGCATTCAGACAAAGGCAACAACGACAACAAAAACTGGCCTTAAATTCATTTTCATTATAAACTTTGGCCTTTTGGCCCTTTCAGATTTGTGATGTGGCCTAATTTTGGTCAATTGAATTTTCGTTTTTATTGTTGCCAATTTTAATTGTTGTTCCTCTGCAGCTGCTGTAATTTTAATAAAATTATACACTTTTATCTGTTTGATTATGTTTCCTATTGGCTGTCATTTCCGACGATTCATTCAATTCTAGTCAATTATTATTAATTTTTGGTCAGTGGGCTTAAATTTACAACACATGCTTATACCCTATAGCCATTGGCTATGGATTAAGAGCGGGTATATTGGATTTGTGCAAAAGAAGGAAGAGATTCTTAAAATAGACGGTATACGAAATGAGCTTGAGATCCTCAGGTTTACAGAGAGCATCGATTCAGAAAATTTCACTGGGGTACAGGGTAGCTTCTAGTCGAGCAGAACTAATCAGGGCGGTCTGATTGTATCCCCAGTTTTTTTGTTCATTTTTATTCGCAAAATGTTCGTGTTGGCTATGTTTGTATTTAGCGAATGATCTGTTGGACAAGTTATCGATATGATATCAATTTGTATTCATCGTGTTATCAATATTGGCTACTGGCTGTTTATCGGCTTGTTTACCTATCGGCCATCAAAATCGTATAAAGTTATCGATAGTATATCAGCATTGGATGTTGTCTGGATATCGATTTATATACTTATCTTCTGTCAGTATTGGTCATAAGCTGGCTATCGACCTGTCTAACTATCGGCCATTTATCGGTTATCGATTTGTTAACGTTATGAATAATTAATTAATTTGAAGTGTTTTTCAAAAAACAAGGTCGAGGAGAAATGAATTAATACCGCCATATGGACCACAAATTGTACACATTTTCTTTTAATTTGTGTGTTGCAGGGTATAAAATAAATCAAAAGCTGATTAAGTGCCATTTTTCGCGCATGCATAAATTAAATTCGAATTATTGAACATCAACAACGAACGCAACAGCAACAGCAGCAGCAGCTACATCAACAACCCCTCAAAACTGTGGTCCATATTGGCTCCCATCTGGGAGCGAGAGGTGCTTCAACTAAAGTTTTGAGTGTGATAACGATATTATCACCAAAATATAATACGATCAAACTAAGAATAAATAAATATATTGATGGATTTCAAATGGGTTCGTCTTTATAGATAGAATCTTTCATCAATTTACCAGGCGAATATAAAATTAAAGAATATTACGTAAGTATTTTTAATGAGAATTTTGCAAATTAAATTAAAGCCAAGATAAAAATGGTGGGGATAAACAAGTATAGAAGATAAAATATATGTGTATATTTTATGATATATCTTTCTTGTATGTTATATTTGTGCTTGATAAGTTAAGATTATTGTTTAACTAGTTAGGTCTTTTATCCTTATATTACCATCAATAAAAAACCTTTCATATATCTGCAAAAAAAAATGTCTTAAAGATAAAGGGTGAAGCTCTTTACACAGTGATCGGACACTAATTTTATCAATACGCTTTATTTGCTGCTTGTCGCTTGTAATTCTCAACAAGTTAAAGCTTTGACGAGTAGACAAGGCAAGGAGAGCTGCGCTGCCTTTAGCTTGGGACAAACTTGTCGATTCACCCACGGATTTGAGCTGTCTGAAAACAAAGCCATTGGCATTAATTTGCTGTTAGCTGTTGCCTTTATGCCAATTTTTGTTGCCAACGGCAATTGCCATTGGGCTTTTCAATCGGCTGTTCAACATGGCGTATGCTTATCAAATTAACGAATTACGCGCTTCACAATGCCAATGACATTTCCCGTATGCGGTTGCAATAAATGATAATCGCACCAGCCAACCAAATGCCACCCACTTTAACCTACCCCCCCCCCCCCCCCCACACACACACACACGCACGCACTGCTCGGGCCGGCAAAGTGCTTCAATAATGGGCGCTGCGGCTGCATCAACCAAAAGTCGTAAATTCCGTTGGTGCCGCAGAAAAACAGAGGCAACCAACGCGGCAGCGAGTGCAACTGGCTGCTGCACAACAATGCAAACAATGCCACAAATGCACAAAATACGCCCGGTCCGTGACCAGAATCGCCACCATGTCCGCCCCCACCCCCAGGACCCTGCCACCAGCTACCCCCAAGCCGAACGGCTTGGAGCCAGGGCACGTCAGGGCCGCCGTTCGACATAATTAAAAGCGCGCGCCGTTTACGCAATTAATGAACTCTCGCCAAATTAGGCTGCGGCAGCGCGACAAGCAAATGGCCAGGACGCGGACGCGGACGCGGACGAGAACGACAATTGAACGGCACAGGATGTCCCCTCAATGACCGCCTGCGCTGCGGTTGCGGTTACCCCACATCAACCCACATCAATGGGAGCAGGCGAGGGCGCGGGCAAAAATGGCGCCCAACGTTGTTGGTGCACAAAAAACCACCGCTTTTGCCGCATTGCAGGGCTTTTGTTGCAAACGGGCAGACGACAGCCGCATTAATGGCCACCAGTAAAACAAGAGTCGCCCGAGCAACCACTCAAAACCCAACCAACCAACCGACCGCGCGCACGCCCGCCCGCCCGCCCAAGTTAACGCATCCGCCGCCTAAACATCGTCGCCAGCAGAGGGTCTGGCCAGACAGCAAAGCTCAAATCGCAGAATGCACAAGTGAATTTTAATCATAAGCTGAAAAAAAAAAAAACAAGTCGGGTGTGCCCGACTAGCAGATACCCTGAATACTCATTCTACGAGAGCCTACATCCCATGTTTGGCTAGCTCTGATAATAAGCTTGTATCGATATTTATCGATATTATGGCAATGGGAAATATTGAAAAAAGTAGCAAAAATGTATCGATATTAGAGCAATGGGAAATATTGAAAAAAGAAAAACAAATTCGTTCTGCCTTTAATACCAGATTTAAGATCGACTCAGCTTCGCGTTCTGATATATGTACACACTTTATTTACATATGCACACACTTTATGGATTCGGAAATGTCTTCTTCTTATACGTTACACATTTTATAACAAAATATTAATATTCCGCACTTGAGAATTAAAAACACTGCACCTGACCACGGTCAAGGTCGGAGTCGGGGTCAACAATTTGAATTCCACATAAATTACCCAAACAAACAAAACTGCAATAAAGTATACTCCGATTGGATACTTAGGCAAATCAAAGTGCATTGTCATGAAACCGCATCGGAAAACAATAATCAAAGAGCATTTAAAAACAAACAATTAAATCAACTAGTTAAATTAATCAATCTGGAAACAAAGATGACTCAGCAGCTTTAAGTAAATAACTTAAAACCACCCAAGGAGGCCGCAATACTCGTTGCATGCACTAAAATAAATTAATTTCCCATTGATCTGATGCATTTGCACACACACATGTATACGTACACGTAGGTACATTAATGCATATGCATATACATACGTACATACATACGTTTATACATATACAGATACATATACAGATACATACACAACCCAACTTCTGTTGATCAAACTTAACGAAAGGCGACCCAGTATTTGCATAAGTGTAAGCGAGACAAACATACTTGCCCAGCTGACATATATGTATAAGAGTACAGGAGGAGCAGGCAGAGAAGAATGCAGCAAGCTAGGCCGAAATAGCCTTCGCTATGCCTATGCACATACATATGTACATACATATGTATATGTATATGTATGCACACATTTATGCATTAACGCTTCCACGGTATTTATTATACACACAAACATGCGTTTGTATTATTTACGTATCATATGTACAGAGCCTTGCCCATCTTTTTACCTTAAAACTACTATGCACGTAGGCGGCAGAGATATGTACATACATACATATGTATGTATGTATGTACATAGACTTACAAATTAAATAAATTGCAAAATTATGCTACTTACCGTTAGCCTGCACAGTTCCATTCGCTTTAGCTGTAAAATCAAATGTTTTATGTTCACTTCACACTTTCGCCACAATAGAATAGAAACCGCTAAACCAAGCTGCAATCAAATTATTTTTTATTTTGCGTATTCACAAGTGCAGCAACTTTGCCCGGGGCCCAAAACCATAATGGGCAACTTTAAATGCCGCTGCTTAACACGCAATTCAATAATTTGTGGTCAATGTCATCAATTTAATTACAGCGCCAGGCAAAAACACACACATACATACACGCACACAGATGCACAAAGCACCGTTGGTCAACAGCCCACCCAAAGGAAAGAATGCGCGGACACGTTTGTTGTTTGATATTTTTCTTGCAATCTGTTTTTTCACTGTTTATTTTGCAGTTTCTTTTCATTCAATATCAATTCGCTTTTTCTGCACACAGAACTTTGCAATTTTACTTCACGTTTCTCCTTCTAACTTTTTCTTTACAAGCAAGCGAAAAAAAAAATTTACTTAAATACAAAAAAAAAAAAAAAAATAATAGTAATAATGTACATAGTTGGTATAAATTTACAGCATTTGCTTTTCTCTTTTTAGTTTTGTGTTTGTTTTTGTGTAGTTTATGTTTTGCTTTGCCCTACAATAGGTGAATGCCTTGGCTTAGTTGCCGTTCGAAGTCGAACATTCAGAAAAATCAATGAATGCAATAAACCGAATAGGAATAATAAAGAGAAGTCGCCGAAACTTCAGTTTAAAGCAAAATCAATTAATTAGTGCACAAACTAAGAAAACAAAAAAGAGAAGAAGAATTATATAAAATATATGACTGAGCGCGCTACACCTCACAAATGCTGCCTATTGCTTTAGTTTGCCTTCTTCTCAGTTGCCGTCGGCAGCGCTGCGGCTGCGGCTGCTGGCGTCGTCGTCGTCGCCGGCGTTGGAGTCGACGCCGGCGTCGTTGTCACTGCCTGTGAGTTGCCCGAAAGGTCCAAGTCGCTGGCGCTGTTCTGTTAAATGGTGAAAAGCAAAAAGAGATAAGAGTTGAAAATCGTTTTAAGTGGTGAAAAGGAAAAGAGATTAGAGTTGAATATCTTTTAACTGAGCTCGATGACTTAAACTGTTTCGATTTTAAATACGGGATATGAGCCGTTGGATTATCAGCTCGATATTTGCAACGTAAGTTAATATATTTGTAGTGTTTATTTTAAATTAAAATGTGATTAAAAATGCGACTTTTTGCATTTAAGTTCAAAATTAATAATTTGAACGTATAACAATTAATTCTTATTGGAATAAATGTACCGTTTTTAGTGTTAGAAAAGGCTGCTTTGAGGCAAATTATGTTGAACTTTAAAATGTATATTAATTTATATCGAGATTTTAAACTCGATAGACTATTTAAGTAATAATAGGTTTTATTAGACCTTCAACCTTCAACCCTTGTGCTCCATTTTTGAATCGTATATCGAACACTTTTTGATATGTGTGTTTAGGTTAAATAGAGCTGATATATGCAGTGAAATTTCTCTTTAAGGACACTCCTCTAGGGCGAACACTTCTCTTGAGTGTTCAAAAAGTTGCCCGACAGCCGCTGTCCGCCCAAGAGAGTTTCGACTGTATATCAAATGCAACTCCAGCCCCTTCACTCACCTTCATCTCCTTGCGCAGTTTCATGGACTTGCCCATGCTCTGCAATCGATAGCGCTCCTTGGAACGCTCGCGTATTTTCTCGGGCACCACCCACAGTGTGGTGGCCGTGTTGCCCACAAAGAGCAGCAGAAAGAGCCCGCACATGACGGACACATGCCACGGTGCATCGGGCGGATAATATGCCAGCTTGAACAGCGTCCAGGCGTTGTAGGCCTGAAAGGCGTAGCCAATGAAGAGGAACGGCAAAAGGAAACTCAAGCCGCGCCACATCCACGAATGAAAGCCCTCAATGGTAATGTCCATATTGTGGCGCTCGCCCAGAGCCTTGAGTCGATAGAGCAGACCCTTCTGGTAGCCAAACTGCAAATACTGAACAATGCCTGCAAGAAGGTCGACATATATCCCCATATATATATATATATGTATACATATATGTATACGCTCATCAAATGGGGTTTACTCACTGATGTAGACATTAAAGTACATGAACTGCAGACGAAAGAGCTGCCAGTGCTCGCCCTGGGGCCAAATGAGCAGCACGCCGGCGGCGACCGTTGAGATGAAATGATGGGCGCGCCACCAGCCCTTGATCCGGGAGCCGTTCACCTTCAGTATGGACTCGCGTATGGTCAGCGTGCAGTAGTACCAGACCAGCAGGAATATAAAGGACAGCTCCAGAGCTCTGGGCGTGGATGGGCAAACGGTTTATATGCATGTTGTCGGCGGCAATTTGTGTCTATTACTCACCTGTAGTTGAATATCAAATTGAAGAAGGCCATTATCAGTCCAATTACGTTGAGTATTAATTTAAACTTTTCATAGTCGTCTTTGTAGCGAACTTTGTCGTTTCTGTTCAAGATTGAGACGTTCACATCGCCGAGGATAATCTATGGACAGAATAATAGCAATAATGTACACACAAATTGGACCAGGAAAAGGGCCGGACAGGAGCAGGATAGTGCGGGGGGGGGGGGGGGGGGGCGAGGTAGTTAAGTTTGTTCAACAAGTGCGAGCGCAAATTGCCGTTCAACGCGAAAGTTTGTGGAAAATCCAATTTGTAAGTGTGACCAGCTTACCTGCAGGTAGCGACCAGATTTTGCCGGCAGCGATTGCTCAATTTCGTGCAGCTGCGCCTTCCGCTTCAGCGACATCTTTTGCAGATCGTCGAGCTTCTCCTTCTCCTCTCCACCAATGGGTCCTTTGTATCTGTAATTGAAATATTCCATGAAGCTTCTTTACTGCACAACCCTGAACAGAAGGGAATACCTAAAATCGGTGACAATCTGTGTCAAGTGACACGAATTGAGAACAATTAACATTTGTATACCTGAATTGCGTCCTGTGAGACAGTTGAAGGGACCTCTCCCTTCATTGGGAGAGGGGTCAAGCGGGTGACGGAAAGGTCTTTTTCTAGTTTTTCTATTCGTGATGAAATTGTGTGAAGATTAAAGTTTCACTAAATCCTCGAGAGAGTAGAAACTCGACCAATATATCTGACAAGGGGCATATTTTGGCCATTAAATACGCTAATGATATAACAGTCCGATGTTGGTAGGACTTTTTATATATGCAAGGAGCTTAGGGCATCTAATTTATGCCAAGTTAGGTTAAGATAGAGAAATCTTAAATCTTATTCCAGTGTTAACTGATCTGATCAATCTGATTTTGATCCGATTTTGATGATAATGCTAGGAGCATGCCAAGTTTGGTTACGATTTATTGAGGAACAAAGATCTTTCTCATACAACTCTTAGTTAGATGATTCCTTTATCAGCTATACGATATAGCAGTCCGATTTTGATAAGATTTTGATTATATAAAAGAAGCATTGGGGAATCTAATTTATGCCAAGTTTAGTTAAGATACCTAGAGGAACAAACACGTTCTTCAAACAAGAACAAAATTTTCGACCTATATGATATAGTAGTCAGATGTTTTTCAGATCTTGATTATATAGAAGAAGAATTGAGTAACAAATAAATGCCAAGTTTCATCTCTATATACACTGATAAACAAACATAAATGACTCAACTCTTGATACTGTTCGGGAATATATGTATATACCTTTTGTGGTATTATTTCCAGACAGGGGCTTATTAAATTAGAAGGCGTTAATATTTAAGTCATATATTGATATTTATTCAACCCCCGATTCGTACTATAGCATCCTCTGAGCCCCGTAGATATACCTGATACAATATAGTTAAGCATGTCCAATTTAAGGCACCTTAATTATGTATACTTTCAACTCGAGAAATTGAGGTAGTTGGCTTTAGTCGGGTCAATAGGTTCCATGTCGCAAATGCTGTGCTATTTGCATAAATAATATATTTATAATTTCGAATAGGTGGCCGTGGTGGAGAGGAGGGGGAGGGGGTGGGGGAGCGGTACGATGGGGCTATTCGAAAAACTGGCCAGCGACGATATCAATTATACACACGGCACACGGCAATTTTAATTTTCCCCACGTCAAAGTTCAATTTAGACATAATTGATGGTTATACACACACTCACACACACACACACACACACACACACACACAGACAGAATATATATACCATATGTACATGTATGTATTTGTTTTGGGTACATTCTTATTTTGTTGTTTATTCGCATGGCTGGCATTTTATCAATCGCTTGCATAATTCATGTTTTTATTTTTAAACATCTAATAAACGGTATACGACAAAAAAAAAGTTCGACACCTGATAAGCGACAAGCGATGATACGCGGGTAAAAGAAGAAGAGGAGTCCAAGAAGAGGCGAATACCTGCGACAATATGGGAAAAGTACTCGAATGTGTACGCTACTGATAATGGCCTTAAAGTTGGTAGTATATACATATACATACATACCTATATATAATCGGGGGGCTTGTTGTTGATATATGGCCAAATGATTTGCCAATTCCTGAAAGGTGTTATGCAAAAGGCCGGAAGTTCGGCTAAGAACAGCGACTGGAAAGTTGCCCAAATGCGTGACAATGTGTATTTGATTTTCGTATACATGGATCCGATTTATAAGCAAACATAAACTAAAAATAGTTGCATCTATTTTCTTTTGGTCCAATCATTTTGACCCGCCCCAAAGTCGCGACTGAAACGCGCGCGAACCGCGGGCAACTTAGATCCGTTCACACAATTACACACACACACACGCACACGCACACACACACACATGCTTGCTGCGCAGCTTATGCTGCGACTGTGCTTCTTCTTCCCTTCCCCAAAACCCTAGCTATGGTTAACTTCGGTATCTGTTGTCTGATTTTCATGAAATTTTCAGGGCTTCCAAGCCCAAGTCTATAACCTATAAAATGGGTTGTGTTTTTCAATTCTGCTAAGAAACGAGTTGCGTTATCCAAAATGTTGAACATGCTGGTTCTATGCATACATGACGAGAACCTATGTACATCCCAAATTTGGTTGCTCTAGCTCTGATAAGCTTCGAGATACATATATGAGAAAAACCTTATCGATAAATCGATTTTTTGATCGATTACAAGGAAATAGAGTGAGTTATTTTTGATTTTAAACAAACAAGTCTTTAATTCTTATTCGAGTCTTGCTGATTTTGGCTAATCTAAGAGGCCCTTGTTGCTAAGGCTTATAATGCTTGAGATTTATTATTAATTAATAAGGATTTTGTCTTCTAAAATAATCGATCGATAATCTTTGTTGCAAACCAAAAAAGAATGTCGGTGGTTCGGTTTGCGGGTTGAACCAGCTGCCTACCTTTAAGTTCGGGCCGTGAAACTGGTTCGCTTTAACCCATGATTACAAATTCTGTTATTACACATGATTTTTCGTAACTTTATTTGCAGAGTTGATACGCAAAACTATCGAATGCGGGGGTAGGGTTGCATTTTGCTGTACATCGCGGCGAAAACCTATTTAAATATTGCAGGTAACGTGCATTAAAACAAGCGGCTTGCGCAAACTGGGCTCAAACGATTTGCGCAAGTGGCTCGTGTTGTCTGAACGAGCCCAAAGCAATGAACTACAATTACAAGAACAGCAACAACAACAACCGGTAATTACACACTGGCACACATGCATACACACGTGCAAACAAACACACACACACACACACAACGTATTTGCATTTGTCAATTAAAATTAATTTTGCAAAAACGTGAAACGCCCTTTTAGCTATGCATTTGCAGCTTTTTACTAATAATTTTTCTACTCTTTTTTTATTGTTTAGTATTTGTGGACAATCTTTGTGCGTTAAGCAAAGCTGGCAGCCAGCTAAGCGGAAGGTCACCGAATTGGAGGCAAAGAAACATTAAAACGCGCGCGACTTAAAACGCGCAGGCAGCAAAATCCATACATATAACTGTTTAAGTGCGATTCGCTGGGCGAGTGCTTACGCTCGCAAGCGTAAGAGCGAGTGGGAAGACAGAGTGCTGCGCTGACAGCATTCGTATGTGTGCTCTTTGCTGATCATTGACACACATACATACACACACATATACATGCATGTAGCGCCAGCAAAAACTCCACAACTGTTACAACAACAGCAACATCAAACTTAACCACTTGAAGCTGGCCTTGCCTGGCTGCGCGCACAGTGGGCCGCAATTGCTTGGTATGTACACCATTTTGTTTTGCTTGGTTAAAATAACGAAAAACAAAATATAATGAACAAAATTAAAATAAAGAGCGGGAAAATTTGCCATTATCAGCTATTCACAGCAAACGTCATTATTAAATATCAAAACGATTTTTAAATTGTGATATTTAAAGAAAAGTTTACTACGTAGACACATTGTCCATTGACTTAAACCTTTTCTTCGCTCATACAAATCGTATTTGCCCCACTGTGGAACAGCTGGTCATTCAGTTAGTTTTGTTTATTTTTTTTTTTCTGTTTTGCGTGTCGCGTTTACAGTTTGCTGGCGTTTTAGTTTTCGCTTCATGCAACAGCACAGGGTCAAGGGCAGCTGGTCGGTAAAGGGAGCGAGTGTGTAGTTGGAGCTGCTGCAACTTGCCGAACGAAGAGTGGGGAGAGGGGGGGGGGGGGGGGGGGGCACTAACTGGGCAAAGGTTCGCTTTCAATATCAAAATAAACAGTTTATGACATTGGCTCTGTCCCTAAGCACACCTAACGCCAGTTCAGGAACAAAGTCTACGTGTAGTTTTTATCACTGGTTTTATCAGAAGAAACACAGCTGTAAAAGCTAATTGGAACCCGGCTACAACAACTAACTAGAAGAAATACACATACATATGTATGTATATAGTACAATTCTTGATATAGCTATACAGCTGTTGTCGCCAGTTGCTTTGGTGAGTGAGTGGTCCGAGTTGATAAGGACACCTTCCTGACTAATTGCCGCCATACATGTGTTTCACAGTTTACTGATAAGCGACAAGAAATAAGCGCTTATGCATGTGTGCGTGTGTGTGTGTGTGCGAATCCAATTGGAATACCTGGTTCGCAGCGGTAATTGATTGAGATCAAATTCCAACTTAAGAACTTCAAAGGGGGGTTGTTTATATTAGCGATGTACCGTGTATCGCGTTTATGCGGATGCGCATTTAAATTGCAAAGCGATGCAGAGTTAAATATTTCGACACGGAACCGGATACAAAATTGTTAATGGGCGAAATGTTGCAATGAACAGTTAACTGCACATTTGTTTATTTACACGTCAAAAATGACAATTTCAGAAAGAAAGAAAAATCAAATAAAATCATTATAAAGGCTAGTCAAGAAAAGTTCGTGTCACGCGCCCGTCTCTAGCTAAAACCAGCTGCAAGTCATTGCATACATGCATATCTAAGTTGATATTTACATATGTATGTACATGTGTTGATGCAGAGAATTATATAAGGGTTGGCTTTTCTGTACATACATATGTACATATACACATCTGTACCAACTTGTACATATAAAGTTATTTATATAAATGTATGTATCTGTGTGTGCTATTGTACTCACTGTCGCACAGAGGCCGTTATTTGATTCATACGATAACGTTGATGTTTGATCTCGTTGAAGCATTTCTGTTGATGCTGCTGCAGCTGTTCCAGCAGCTCCATGTAGCGTCTGTTGCATGTCTGCAAAGATAACGGACGGTGTGTTATTCGCTATTAGCAGCTGTTTCAAGGTGAAAACAGTAGCATAGACAACAACAACTCACCTCGAGTTCGGTGTATTCTCGATTTAGCTCATCCCATTCATTGCGCAGCGTCTCGATGTCCATTTTTTAATATTTGTTGTTATTTTCTTTGCCAGACGCGCTTTACACGATGTCTGTTGTATGCAACAGCTGTTTTGAGGTTAGGGTCTATGCTGGCTATGGTAAAGAGACAGAGAGAGAAAGAGAGGGGGGTTTGTTGAAGCGGTGGGTGCAACCACTTGCCGGCTGTTGTGGGGGGCCGTCACCAAAGTTACCAGCGTTCGCTGCCAAGTATTTTGGTGAAAAATCAATTTGCCGCAACGCACGCAATTCGCCACAATTTCTATTTCGCTCTTGAGCACAGCCACAGCGAATAATAATGGAAAGTGTTTGGACACAAATCCACTTAATGGGATACACTTCGGTTTAAGCACCTGGAATTGAAAATTATGCCGCGATGCTGTTGTTTTGTTTAAAAATAAATTTGAGCGGAGCAGCGACGCTTATGCCGTGCGGTAACTAAAACTGAACTAAACTGAACTGAACCAAACACCGAACACTGAATAGCGGCAGCGGCGATCCAATTGGCGGTGGTGGCGGCAGAGAGCGCGCGCGACGTTGAGGTTGATCTGTGGCAGCGTTTACTGCAGCAGTGTGCTGCCCGGCAGTTAATTTTAACTACTTAAGACTTAGTTTGGCGACGCCAATTTAGATTAGATTCAAGTTAAACACAAACACAACAAACGACGAGCTACAGCAGCCAGCCAGCCAGCCCAGCCACACACGCACTCACTCACCAAACAATATTCTGCGCTGGTTTGCCAACAACAAAACAATGCGAGAGAACAGAAGCGCCAGCAGACGCTCGCTTGTTGCGTCGTACTTCGGTTAATGTAGTTGTCTCGCTCGCTCACTCGCTTGTATTGCTATCTTGCGCTAACGTACGCACTGTGCCGTCGCCAGCGTGTTTGGCTATGGTGAGTTCGCAATTCAATGGTGAGTTGAGCCTCGCTGGTGAGTAAATAAAAGCGCGCGTTTCAAATTTATACAATTATATGTGTAGACTGAGTTTTTAATAACAGAATTTTAGTTGGGTTGTGTACATAAAAAAGGTTTAATTTTAAATGCCAGGCCTACTAACAGTAAATATAGTTTTTATTAGCAGTTTTGTGGTAAAAAAAATTAATATATGTATATTATAAAAAAAAAATTTTTATATACATATGTATATAAAAATATATGTATGCATATATAAGGATTACTCCTTGCGCCTGGCACGCAATCGCAGCGCCAGATAGGCAAACCCGCGAAAGCCAACAATCAGCAGGGCCAATCCCACATAATCGAGCGGCAAATCTTCGGCGGAGAAGTTCAGCGTTTCCAGTATAACCTTGCCGGAGCCGGGGCACGTTGTGTTCGAGGAGGTGCAACTAATTTCGCCGGGCTCCACATCGGCCCATTGATTGATAAGCAGGCCCTCGTTGGCATAACGAAACCAGGATAGATAGGACAACCATTTCAGGTAAACGGGCACCGAGCCCGAGTTGAGGAAGAAACCACCAAAAAGCAAGAATGGTATTATGACCGGTGGGCCCACCGACAATGCCATCGATGTCGAGGAGCTGGCGCAGGATATCAAGTAGCCAAACGAGGTGGACACATTGGCCACCAGTGTGACCAGCGCCAGGCAGTTGAAAAAGTGCAGCGCTCCCGGCCGCAAGCCAATCATCGGGTACGCAATTGCCGTAAAGACGAGCGGCACGGTCAGAAAGAGCGGCAGCTCGGCTATGGTCTTGCCCAGAAAGTAGGTGTCGCAGCGGTAAAGGCGACTGCGCGCCTCGCGCATAAAAACCGGCAGCTCCGACGTAAAAACCTGCAGCAGACGAAGAACAATAGACAGTTTTAGTCGCTCTTGGATTAGACGTAGTCAAGTCCAGCTACAGCTCCAGCTGCTGCACTCACATTGATGGTGGCAAACACATTCTGGAAGGTCATGTTGGTCAGGAAGAGAAATATGGCGCCGTTGATGTTCATCACGCCCACCTGCGTCAGTTGTTGGCCCAGAAAGATGAGCCCAATGAGCACGGCTACCATCTGGAATGGATAATGCACAGATTAAATGGTTTAAATGGAGCTGCGCATGGAGGGGAACTCACCGTGGTCTGTATGAGTCGCACTTTGACCAGCAGCGGCTCCTTCAGCACGGATAGCCAGGAACGCCAGAGCACGGCACGGAACTGCATAAACCACGTGGCCTTGTAGGTATACCCGTTCTCGGGCTGCTCCAGCGGCTGCGTCTGCGCCTTGGCAGCCAACAGCTGTTCCATATCCCGCGCCACTTTGCTAATGGCAAAGTTATCGCAAATCTTGGCAATGCGCTCGCGCGACTCCACCTCGCGACCTGGCACAATGGCCAGCACCTGCACATAGAAGTCGGCCGGATTATAGTTGGTCGGACACTGGGCGCCCACACTGCGGGAAAAAGAATGGAGCGAAGCAATCAATAGATGTAGCCTACAATCGACACCGAACTGCGTTCTAATATGGAGTACATGAATTCCTGTTCACGGAAAAGTTGGCGAATGGAGCGAAGCAATCAACGCATAATGTAGTTTACAATCGGAGTATATAAATTCCTGTTCACGGCAGAATGGAGCGAAGCAATCAATTAATATCCTACAATCGGCACCGAACTCCAATCTAATATGCAGTACATAAATTCCTGTTCAGCATTAAGAGTTGAAAGATCGATATCTCGGATTTATATAAAGTGAAACTTGTTGTTGCACTTTAAAAATCGATATCGATATCCGATGCATATATCATCAAAAATATCGATTACATGTTTGAATTTCTTTTTTGAGATGATCCCAAAGATACAGCTCAAGAAATTGGTCTTCGACTGGGTAAATACTAAATTTACAACTGGATTCGAGCTAGGTTGCTCGTCCTGCCGTGAGCTAAGCCACTAACCATACAACATAAACACTGGACAACTAGTACAGACGCGTTAGGTCATGCATTTTGTAGACTTCTGGTCCAAAGTCGCCTTCGTTTTTGTTCGCGTCCGAGACTCGCTTACTTGCTCAGAAAGCAAGAGAGTAAGAAATACATTTGATTTGTGCGATAGAACGGCATCGCTGTCTTTTTTCTAATGCTGCTCCCACTACAGGAAACTGCTTTGACTTACTCTCAGTGCTCTCAATGCTCTCTTACTAGTTGTCCAGTCTATATGTTGTAAGTTAGTGGCTAAGCTCATCTATAGAGGACTCGGAACTTGAGTAGCTTGTGTGAGCTTCTTCTCCGATACAGAGGAAGTCTTAAACCTTAGGCGAATACTTACTAGGAGAAGAAGTCGACTGCCTCGCTGGGTGTGCCCAGGAAGGCGACGCGTCCCTCGGCGATGAGGAGTATCTTGTCGAACAGCTCGAACAGCTCCGAGGAGGGCTGATGTATGGTCAGTATGACGGTTTTGCCCTTCTGCGACAGCTTCTTTAGCACCTGGACGACGCTGTGCGCGGTAAAAGAGTCCAGACCGGAGGTCGGCTCATCGCAAATGAGCAGCGGCGGATCGGTGAGCGCCTCCGAGGCGAACGCCAGACGCTTCCGCTCCCCGCCCGACAGCCCCTTGACGCGTCCGGGCACACCAATGATCGTGTGCTGGCACTTGGTCAGCGACAGCTCCTGGATGACCTGGTCGACGCGCGCCACACGCTGGCGATAGGTTAGCTGGCGCGGCATGCGCACCATCGCCTGGAAGATGAGATGCTCCCGTGCCGTTAGGGAGCCAATGAACAGATCATCCTGCTGCACGTAGGCGCAGCGTGCCTGCATCTCCTTGGCATCCACCGGCTGGCCATTGAGCAGGCGCACGCTCGACGGCGACACCTGCACGCCTTGCGGTGTCCGGAAGGCGAGAGCATTCAGCAGCGTGGTCTTGCCGGCCCCGGAGCTGCCCATCACAGCCAGCAACTCGCCCGGATAGGCCACGCCACAGACTGTCGAATGGAAGAACACGATTAGAGATTGGGCGATTGGCATTGGGATACTGAATACCATTCTTGAGCAGATGCTTGCGTGGCGCCGGAATATGCCGCTCGTTGCAGAAGAGTCCACGCGTTCGATTCACCAGCTGGCGCCAGCCGGAGCCCGGCTGATGCACTGCACCGAATATGTCCACATTGTGCCACGCATAGGTGAGCGTCTCTGGCAGCTGTGCATCATCGGCGCCGCTCAAGGTGCCATAGTTCTTGGCCTGGCCAAAGCTTTGGCTAATGCAGCTCTGCGCTGTGGGCCCCACGGCTGTGCCTGCCGCCGCCGCCGCCGCCGCCGCCTGCTCCCCCTGCTGTGCGAGATACGGTTGGTTTATGTGAATGAGTTTTGAGTTTGAGTTTGGTTGGCAGCCGAAAAAGGTTTTCAAAACTTTTCAATTTCGCGCGAATGCCCAACACTGGCAAGGGCTGGGGGAGGGCTGGGGGAGGGGTCGGGTCGGGTCGCGTGCTAATCCGCGTCGCCTACTTACGACCTTTTTCCGCGGCAAACTGTTTAAGTCTCATAAAAATGCCCAAAACATTATTCGGCGCCCCAACCAAAAACCCAAGTCGCGGCCATTTCGAATGTGCAAATTAGGACGCAGTCCTGGTGGGCGATTGCCCGGCGCAGCCGCTTGATCTGGGTTTCGGTTTTGGGGTCTGGGTCAATCCCGGCACGCCATTTGGAAGGTGACGCGCCGAGTGCCAAGTGAAAGTGCGAAAGTTTTGTCTTCAAATGTTCTGCCCTTTCCTTTTCTTTTTTTTTTTTATATTTATTTTCCGAGTGCACTGAATCCATTTGAATGCTTCGCTGCTCGTCTGAGTGTTTCGAGTGTCTCAGCGTCAAGTAATTGAGCAAATTGAGCATTTCGTAATTTATTTAGCATACATTGCGCATTTATTTTGCCTACATTCAACATTTTTACGAGCCCAGCAGCTAGCTGGGACGGAAAGCGCCAAGTGGAACACATTTGCAAACTCAATTTCAACTGAGCATATTCCTAGGCATATTTCTGGTTGTTTGCAAAAGTAATCACGGCTCCTAAACGATTCTTTTTTGCATTGGTACCTATTTTATGATGGCTTCTTACAAATTTATATAGACTAAACACACTCTGAATCGCACCCTTAGCCAAACTAGTTCCTAAGAAAATACAGCCCACAAGGGAAAATTACAAGAAGTGGCTGAACTAGGATACAAACTTTACTTTACTTTTTTATATAATCAGATCTGATAGATTATAAGTATTTTTAGATTTAGCTCAAATTCGCATAAGAAAACATGTTGCAAGGCGTGCTGCAAGCTGAGGCTTGTTTAAATTAAAAATGCTTTAATCTTATCAGCTAACAAGCTTTAATTAAGTTTGAAAGTAGATATGTAATATTTCTAAATAATAATATAATTAATTTATAAGTATTAAGTCTTAAAAACTTCTGAATTTACAAACTTGAAAAACGTTCAAGCCTTGCCACATCCATCTTGTTGATAGTCTATAAAGTGTATATTGTAGATATAGTATATATATTATATTAAAAAATATATATATAGTATACATATATAGTATGTATAGTATGTATTGTATATAAAGTATATATTGTATATAGTATATATTCAGTGAATTGCTTAAATAGAGCTTTTAAAATGTAACTCGAATAGACAAATTCTCGAGAGCCCCAACATGAAAGTGTATATAATCTAACTAACAAAGTCATCCGTTTATACCTAAACATGGAACTCTAAGCAAAAGTGGACACATATGGCAACTTCACATAAATAAGTAAATAAATAAATAAAATATATAATAATAAATCGTACATATAACTTGATCAAATTAGCAATATCAACGAAAGTTCTACACTATCAAGGACTTTTTTTCGGCCAAGTCTTAAGTTCTTTTAGATTGGTTCTTGAATCGCGGGACTTTTCTGCTGCTGCATTTCAATTAACAGTTGAATGATTTACTCACAAAGTTGCCAGACTTTATAATTTGTTTGCCTGCCATTCGCATATCATTAGCGGGCATTTGAGATGCTTAAATGATATGCCGTTATCTACTTAGTTAAGGCAGTTAGTTCGCCTAGCGACATCTGGCGGCCGAAACCCGTAACGCCAACGGCGTTGCCAGGCAGCTAAAAAACGCAAAGTTAAGCCAAATAAAAGGAAATAAAAAAGTAAAAAAAAGCAAGTACGTGAAATTAAATAAATATGAAATTGTGAAATACAAGCCGGGGGCCTAAGAGCTAAAGCTCTGGCGCAGTCCAACGGCTCAGCTCGGCGCAGCAGACAGGCAACAGATAATACGGCAACACACAATACGGCAACACACACTTAAGAAACGCCAAGGAAGATGAAAACAACAACAACAACAACAACAACAAAGAACACAACACAGGCAAATAAATACAGGAAAAACTTTTTAATAACATTTTTCGGCCTCATTTGTTGTGAAAACAATTTTGCTTGGGCACACACACACTCTCTCTCTCTCTCACACACACACACACACACACACACACACCGCAGCACATGCCACCCACTGTTGGCTGCCACATGTAACGGATATTAAATTTTTCGCGTCTACCTCGACGTCGCCGTCTCCAATTTCTCAAGCAAAATTGAAATGCAGCAGACAAACGGCGGGCAGCAGCAGCAGGAGCAACAGCAGGAGCAGCAGGAGAAGAAGAAGAAGCAGCCGCCGCAGGAGCAGAAGAAGAAGCAGCAGCAGAGATCAACGGACGGGACTCGAACGAGCCGGATTATTAATAGCCAGCGCGACATTTCTTGCATGGAATGAATGTCCGACTCTTTAGGGCAACACATACACACACACACACATACACACACACACACACACACACCGAACACACACATATACACACATGTACACACTCGCTCGCTTTTGCTTAATTTTGATGACTATTTATGCCACATTTTGATGATTGCGCCAGGTGAAACGCAAACGCTTTCCATAGTGCGGCCATCAGATTGACGCGGCGCCAATTAGCCCCAACCCGCGCCCACACACACCCGCTATTTACGCCCTGCTCGCAGGCCATGGAAACCCCTGAAGCAACGCTCGACTAGCTGTTGGTGTGGATGAGGGGCTGGTTGCCAAGGGAATGGAAGGGAAGACAACGACCGCAACGGACGTTGTGGGCGTGCAGCTTTGGTTTCACTCCATGGAAGCCCCACGCGTGGGTCAAACAACAAAACAACGAAGTGTGAGGAGCTGGAAGAAGGGGGGCGGTTGGTGAGTAGGGTGAGCTGGGCAAATCTTCAGTGCCGGGCTGGACATGTAGCTCAGTTCCACCAGCCCTAAAAGTAGAACCCAACCTAATCGTTGGGTTTCAATAACCTGCGAGGAGGATCTGGCAGAAGAGCATAAATAACTTGAACCCTATTTCTATGTATGTAGCAGGCAGAAGGAAGCATCTCCGATCCCATAAAGTGTATCTTGATCAGCATCAATAGCCGAGCCGATCTAGCCATGCCTGTTTATCTGTCCGTGCGTTTCGTCGTCCATCTGTCAGTCTGTTTGTCCGCATATATTAACGCGTCGTCTATAAGTGCTAGAAACCTAGAAACTTATCTCCTTCTACTGCCCGCTCAGTACGCGCTTGTTTCCGATTATCGATAACTTACCTCGTTTGCCATCAATCGATAAAAGTCGATATCGAAATATTGTTTTTTCTTAACAAATTCTTAGGTTTTAAGAGCTAGTCACCAAACTTGACATGTAGCTTCTAGAATGGTATATGCAGATCGCATTTAAAAGAAGAAGAAGGTTGAGGGTATCCCCTACTCGGGCACTCCCGACTGGCAATGTTTTTAGTAGAACAGGAAAATAGTAAATAAATTCGTTACTTAAAATATTGAAAAATATATAAAGTTTGGGTTCGCAGATCTGTAGCTTAAAAAAAAAACTGAAATCTATTCGAGTAGTAGATTCTACGAAATAGAGGTTTCAGAAAAAACAAGAACTCCTCTCAAATTGTAGAATATACAAAAGAGAGGTTTAAGAAACTAACCAGAACTCCATTTGATTTTAGGTAATAGACGTCCCAAATTAACAAATAACTGAAATATATATATATATATGACTTTCTTGTTTTTCCTTCATTTTTCTTAACAAATTTATTTTAATTTACGAAAATATGACCTAAATCATATTTTTCCATAAACTCGAACATAACGAAATCCATAAAATGTTTTTGAACTACATGAAGTTATTCAAAAGAAATTCCTCTTTAAAATGTCTTGACTTGGTTTGACATTCAGCTAGTTTTGAGTAAACTATTCAGTGAGCATATATTTGATTAAGAGCAGTGCCCTTTAGACAATAACAGACTTCCAGAGGTTCTCTTGGAATAGCTGCAAGATTCTTATTCAGATTTATACTGTTTGCATGCCTGGTCTCAAATCTTATAAGCCTGCCAAGTCAAGTACTAACACTCGAATAAACACAGACAGGTTAAGATAGCGACACTTGTCAAGTAACAGATACAGATACAAATACAGATGCAGATGCAGATGCAGATACAGATACAGATACAGATACAGCTGCTGATATAGATACGTTGAATGGACAGTCAAATAATGACCTAGATAAGAGCGGATTAAACAATATCAATAAAAAAGTAAAATAAAAAAGCAACAATAAACATGAAGCGGAAAGAATGCGAACAGAATGAAGCCTAGACAATGACAACAAGTTAACGCGTTAACAAGCATAAAGTCAAGATACAGATACACATATATTAAGATACAAGATACAGATACATACACACAGCTCGGTCATATGCTACAGCTACGACTACTCCAACGAATTGTTATGTGACACTGTGCGCAGATACTCTTAACGAAACCTAAGTACATCAACAGCAGGCAAACTTCCAGAATAATTTGGGTTTGAACCAGTCAGTGGTTCAGCTCATGATACGAACAAATGTCTTGCTTCGATGCTTGGCTTGTCAACCGGGTTTGTTGGGGCTTCTGATTTGGTTTAAGGTTCGATAGAAAAGAAAAATGGAATTCCGGATGCGAACCGATCAATCGAATTATTGTTTATCAGCAAATTATTTTTTTTATTCATTAGGAAGAACCTTTTTATGGTCTTCAAAATGTTGTTATTTATTTGTAGCATAAACCGGATCGCTTGCCAACTTAAATTAATTATAACAATGCACGCAAACTTCCAAAATTAATTTGGATTTGAACCACTCAGTGGTTCAACTCTAGTTCGATCGAATGCCTTGCCTTCGTGAACCGGGGTGATATGTGAGTACGAGTTTTGGAACAGCAGCAAGCTTAGCATCCTCCAAGCTAAGATTCTCAGAGTAACTATTGAGGCTGCTTAGTAGATCCATTCACAAACGCTGGCAGGGGATCTTAAAGTCCCCATGTGGAGCAACCTACTAAGATAACAGTCCCGCCCGTATATACATAACTATCGATATTATTCCCTATCGATCTTCCCCAACGGGAAAACAATAGTAACATTTGAAGTTAACGGTAACTATCTAATGTCCCATACTGTACAGTTAGGTTAAGATGAAAAAAAAGCATTGTATAATTTAAGAACTTGAAGAAGAATTGTCATCTTGCTCGCCTGCATTCCGAGTATACATGATAAAGCCACATGATGAGTCAGGATATTATTCAGCATTTGTTCAGAATTCATTTTATTGTTTAATGTATTGTTTTTTGTATGTGTGTGTGTATGTAACACCCCTTTGTTACATATGGAAACAAAACCCGACACTGTTTCTTTTCTATGCCAACTTGCGACTATAGATGGTTCTATAGTTGTTATTATTCATGTTGCCTCTGGATCCAATTACTTGTATTGCAACATTTGAATCACATAATGCGTGCCACTGTCCATATGTGTGTGTGTTCCTCTGTGTGTGTGTGTGTGTGTGTGTGTGCGATCATTTCGATAGTCTGTGTCATAGCTAAATCTTGCCCGATTTTGCTGATGCAATGCGGTTGCGGTTAATATGGTATGTAGGTGTTTGGTACGGTGCGGACAGAGGGGGGGGGGTGGCTTGTGTTGGCTAAAACAACTTTGTGGCCGCGTTTGGTTCTCACGCTGCCGCCTCCTAGAAGCATGCAACGCTTTTCGTTGTCGACTTACGCTGTGCAACTGCTCGGCGGAGGGATGCTTGCTGCCGCCGCGTATCAATAGCTCCTGATCCTCTTGGCCCATTTCGTAGCTTGGCTCATGCAGCACGTACACACACACTCATACACGCACGCACGCACACAAAACAAAAAACAAACAAAATCGTGTAATTACTAATTATTTTTTTTTGTTGCTTTCTCTCTTTTCGATATAATTTGTGATTTTTCGGTTCCTTTGCTACACTCTTTGCTTCGTGACGAATGCGCGGACAATACGCAACTGACGTTCAACGACTGCGCGACTGAGCGGCTGAACGGCGGCTGGCGGCGACGGCGGCCATTGACGCTGACGACGCCAGCGACGCCAGCGACGCGCTGCTTGCGGTGGCGATGAGTGAAATTTGATGAGTGCAAACAGATAAACAGCAACAACAACAACAACAAGAGCAGCAACAAATGTCTCGTCTATTTGCATGCTGATTAAAGAGCGGCGACTCGCTGCTCAACTGCTGCCCAACGGTTCGTCTCCGCTTTCATACTCCCTCACCCCGCTCGCCGCTTATCAGCCCTTGCGTTTGCACAATTCTTGTTGCTGTTGGGATTGCTTCTTCTTTTTCTCTTGAAGCGTGCTCACATTTTCTATCGATTGGCGTTGTTATCGACCACGATTTGCCACTGCTTGATCGATACTTATCGAATAAGAATGCATCAAAATGCTTTAACTACGTTTGGCATGACTAGGCTAATAAATAAAATATAAAACTTTCGTTTATTATTTCAAGTTTCATTTAATCAAATTAAATGCTCTAGGTAACTTGTACGTATGTGTTTTTATACCCTTGCAGAGGGTATTATAATTTTGTCGTGAAATGTGTAACGCATAGAAGGAGACATCTCCGACCCCATAAAGTATATCTATTCTTGATCAGTATCAACAGCCGAGTTCATATAGCCATGTCCGTCTGTCCGTCTGTCTGTTTCTATGCGAACTAGTCTCTCAGTTTTAAAGCTATCTTTATGAAACTTTGCAGAACTTCCTCTTTCTGTTGCACGCAGTTCATATGTCAAAACCAGCTGGATCAGACCACTATATCATATAGCTGCCATAGGAACGACCGGTCGAAAAGTAGGTTCTTGTATGAAAAACATTTTTGTTTATAAAGTTATCTTGACTAAACTCGGTATTTACTAGTTTTACTACGCTCCCCATATATATGCAAAATCCTATTAAGATCGGACAACTATATCATATAGCTGCCATAGGAACGATCGGTCGAAAATTAAGTTTTTGTATGGAAAATTTTTTTATTTTGTCGGGACCGAATCGCTTTAAGTAGCTCCCGAAACATCTGTGGCCAGATAGGAGGTACGTCGGGTCTGATTGGGAATGGCGTTTCCACAATCAAATTAAGCTCCCTTAGATCAGAAGGCTGCGTTTGCGTGCCGGCGTAGAGCCTTTCGACGACGGTTTTATATACCTTGCCCCAAGGATCATATTCGGCTCATTCCAACAGTTCAATGAAGCATTCTCGCTTGCTTTCTCGTATGGACTTCTTTAGCAGCTTTCTGGCCCTTTGATACCATAGTTGTTCTATGGCATAGTTGGGTTTACCTCGGGTCTACCTCGGGCTCGCTGGTTTCTCCTTCAGGTTTGGATGCAGTTTTCGTTCCCCTAGTACATGGTGGCGTCGGGTTTCCATGCTTTCATAACAGGCACCTGTTAATTGATTTGCCATTTGGGAGGCTCTACTCTCTGCGTTCGAAAGGCCACGGGGTCGAAAGTATCCGAGCGGTAAGTTTTTCGACTTAGGATTCTCGGTCTGGCTGTCGCTGTATGTGTGTATGTATGTAGGTGTGTATGTATGTATGTGTGTATGTATGTATGTGTGTGTGTATATATGTAGGTGTGTATGTATGTATGTGTGTGTGTATGTATGTATGTATGTATGTGTGTATATATGTATGTATGTATGTATGTATATATGTATGTATGTATGTATGAATGTATGTATGTATGAATGTATGAATGTATGAATGTATGAATGTATGAATGTATGAATGTATGAATGTATGAATCTATGAATGTATGTATGTATGTATGTATGTATGTATGTATGTATGTATGTATCTATGTATGTATGTATGTATGTATGTATGTATGAATGTATGAATGTATGTATGTATGTGTGTATGTATGTATGTATGTATGTATGTATGTATGTATGCATGTATGTATGTATGAATGAATGTATGTATGTACATATTGTTGTACGATCGCCTATACCAAACAGGACCTGATTTACTTTCCGCTGCGGTGCAATTTTAATAAACCGCCTATAAAATAAAGTCCTCCTCCTCGATTCTCATGAATTCAAGTAAGCCTTACAAGTTGAGTTGCCAATCTAAAAAATGTAATATCTGTTCATAGTCTAACTCAGATGTATTCTCTTCGAATGTCATTCTCTCTCTCTCCTTCTTTTTCCTTCTCTCCCTCTCTTTCTCTCTCTCTTTCTTTCTCTGAATTTTATCCAGTTTTTTTACTTTTACTTCTTTTGTTCTTTCAGTGATGTTACTTTATGGAAAATCTGGCGCCTTCCTGTGTAAATTTTTTGGGGGTAAGTCCAAATTTACATACCTGTCTGTATATATATACACTTATATAAATCTGATCGAGGTATTTTATACATATATGAACGTTAAATTATTTAGTTGGGATAACTTCATGAAAAATCGTATTCCCCTGCTCGTTTCTGCCCAGACAACTGTTTGCTGGGTATGTGGTAGTCGAGTGTACTCTTTATGTTTTTCCATGGTTTTTTTTCAATTGTGAGGTCTTCTTTTTAGATATTCCTAAAGTTGCCCGCTGGACTCGTTTGTGGGCGTTGTGCCATGCCCTCAAGCGTGTCTCTCTCTCTCTCTCTCTCTGTGTGTGTGTGTGTACTTTTCTTCTCGTTGTTGTTGTGGCACCTCTAGGGCTTCTTTCTTTGATCGCTTTGAGCTAAACTCAAACTCGAAACGACTTTTACACAAAACTAACTCAAAGCTCATAAGTAGCAGCACTTGTGGCTGTTGTTGCACTCAACGTCGTCGTCGTTGTTGTTGTTGCTGCAGCTGCTTTAAAGTGTCACAAATTTGCAGCATGTGGCGCCGTTGCCGCTGCCGCTGCCGTTGCGAGTTGCAAGTTGCCGCTTTAGGGGCCAACACACAAAATCTCTCTAGAACTTTTGCTAAGCTCTGCTGCCAGTACCCAGCCCCAGTCGGATGCCATCATTTACTCACTCAAATGCTATAAACTTTTTACACTTAACAATTTATTGTCACTCTGCTGGCGTGGACGTTGACGTCGGCGTCGGCGTCGACGTCGACGTCGTCGTTGGCGCCGGCGTCGTTGTTTGTGCCTTGCAACTTGCAGTGTAAAAGCAAAAAGTGTAAAGAAGTAACTCGAGCAAAAACGTTGAAAGTTTTGCTAACACGCTTTTACACTCTCTCCTACGCACACACACACACACACACACATACATAGAGAGAGACACACACACGCACACACACACACACACACACACACACACAGGCAGGTAGAGCGGCCATTGACTCTAGAAATCAAGTTGGGAGAGTTGTTTGCAGCTGAGTTTGTCCCCGCGTTGACGTTGACGCTGCCCCGCGCCCGTCCCCCGTCCCGCAAGCGCGTTAGCCCATGCAAATTATTGACGCGGACAGCGGCTTCAATAAATCTGCGCACGTGTGTGTGTGTGTGCCTGTTTGTGTGTGTGTGTGTGTGGCAACTTTTGGTGTGCCTTGTGCTAACTTTATGCCAAGCGCCACGCTAATCAGACAGCTTTCTAGTTCATTGCATTGAACGAGCGCCGCCACGCCCACACGCCGAGCCTTCATCTGTAAGCGTATGTACGCCCCCCACCCCGCCCCCCGTCAAGCAGCCACTCAACTGGCTGTAATTGCCAAGTAAATCAGCGCTGCCACTTGCCTTGCCCGAAAAGTATGTTCCTCACCGGGTGGCGGGCGGATCACGCGGGTCGGGCGAATGGGAATTGGAGACGGGTTTTGAGCCAGGTTTTGGGTGTAAGGAGCGGGTGGTGTGTGTGTGGGGGGGGGGGGGGTGGCTGCGTATGGCGCTTGGCTTGTGCTAAACTTTGAGAAGTTTTAAAGAGGAATGCTTCATGGGCTAGATTCATAGTTAGTTAGTTAGTTGCTGGGCCCAACTTGGTTAAGCAGGGGCGGCTGGTGTGCTCCAAAAGTTTCCAAAGCAAGGGGATCGGGTGTAAGTCGGCTATCTGCACACATACACACACACACTTACGCATGTATGTGTGTGTATTTATGGTTGGAACAAATATCGAGTAGCTGCAAGGGAAGCAGTTGTCTCCATCCCCAAATAGATCGTTAAGCAGCTAAGTTGAAAATAAATTGAGTTCAGTTTGAAGTTAGCTCAGAGATGTTTAGCATTTAAACAGAACTGTCCTAGGTCAGGTAAAGCTCTAAAGACTATGTTAATCATATTTAAAATCGCAGCGAGATTTGAACCGGCGACCTCTCCCTACAAATACCATTTATTAGCCTGTGTTGTTGAGCGAATTACAAATTGGATGAAAATAATAAAAGTATAAAAATATTTTCCCCATTTCTTTTCAAAATATCTGCTAGATATATGTATGTTAGCTATTGCTAACCTCTTCAATATATTTCTATACCCTGAACCCATTGAAAATGGGTAAAAAGGGTATTATGTATTTGTGCAAATGTATGTAACAGGCAGAAGGAAGCAGCTCCGACCCCATAAAGTATATATATTCTTGATCAGCATCAACAGCTGAGTCGATCTAGCCATGTCCGCCTGTCTGTCCGTCCGTCCGTCTGTCCGTCTGTCCGTATGTATGAACGCAAGGATATCAGAACCTATACGAGCTGGAGACTTGACATTGTGAGTGTAGGTCCTCCTAGTCCCCGCGCGGATCGGTTTTGTTTCCGATATTCGATAACTTGTCCCGTTTCCAAGTAATCGATAAAAATCGATATCGAAATCCGTTTTTTTGAGCAATTTCGGCAAATAATATGAGCTAGAATTACCAAACTTGACATGTAGCTTCTAGAATAGTATATATACATATATATCAAGTATCTTTTATTTTATACCTATCGGGGTTCAGGGTATCCCCTGGTCGGGAGCTCCCGACTAGAACATTTTACTTTTTAAATTGGTTTTCTTGCGCTTTGCATAAGAATTGT